GAACCAGAAGTCGACCTTGGGGTTGCTGAAGTCGGAGAAGAGGAAGTAGAGCTTCTTGTCGCCGGGGAAGCCCACGAGCACGCGGCGGAGCGCGCGGAAGCGCTGCGCCGCCGTGTAGCGCGACGCCTTGACGGTGAGCCAAGGCGGGATGGTCTCCCAGCCGAGCGCGTCCGAGACCGTGACGCCGGCGAGCTCGCGCTCCGTGATCGACTGGCCGCGGCAGCCGAGCTCGCGGTAGTCGAGCTCGACGCCCGCGGACGCGGTGTGCCGCTGGACCTTGATGGCGTCGTAGACGCGCTGGGCGCGCGCCTCCTCCATCTCCTCGGCGTTGCCCGCGACGGCGACCGCCTTCTTCGCGACGACCTCAGGGCGTCGACCGGCGCGTTTGATTTGTTGGGTGATGTCGATCAGGCGGAGCGGCGACGCGGCGGCGGCGACCGGGTCGGACTCCGTGAGGGACTTGAGCCGCGGCGCGAGCGTCAGGAGGACGAGGTCCCCGACCTTTGTCTTCGCGTTCTTCTCGTACTCGCCCTTCTTGTAGCCGGAGCACGTGAGGTTGTACTTCGAGTTCAGCGCGTTGTAGATGTCCGTGGCGGTCTGCATCTCCGGCTGGGGCGACGACCGCGCGACCTCCTCGAGGTACTCGAGCACCTTCTCCTCGAGGAACGCGCCGTCGTCCTGGTTGCAATCCAACTTCACCTTCGCGCGGCGCTTCTTCGTCGCCGACGAGGCCTCGTTACCGACCGATCTTTGCGTCGCCTGTTTGACCACGGAGCTGTAGTCGCCGCTTGCGAGGTTGGCCTTAGCCTGCGCCGCCGCGGCGCGCTTCGGCCGCCCCGACATGAGGCGGCAGGATCTGGTGTGTGTGTGAGCACCTGTGGTAGAAATTGGGTGAGGCGGGCGCCCAGGACGCCGCCCCAGGGGTCGCGGGATCCGCGCGGGCGAGGCACAAGGAGGACGCGACGCGCGGGGTCGAAGACGCAGCGACGCGCGGGTTCGACGGCACAGGCCCGACAGCGAAGATCAGGCGGCGCGAGCAGCTGATAGAGGCCCGGCTTGGGCGATCGAGAGGGCCGACTGTGGGCGCCACAGCCCGCCTCATGATGGGGATGATGGGCGATGTCGAGGCCGACAAATCTGACCCACGGGGGGCACGACGCTGCCGCGGGGTTTTAGAGCTCGCGAAGCGTACGCATGGCCTTGGACGAGGCGCTGCAAGGCGTCGGCATAGCCGGGTAAACGCAATCCATCGACGTGTCGGCCTTGAAGCACGCTCGGGCCTCGTCCAGAGGCTGCCCGATGGGCTGTGTTCGAAGCGTTGACAGCATGCGACATGGTGGTGGTGCAGCGATCCAGCGAGGCGCATCGAAACCCGCGGTGACGGAACACAGCACTTGCAAGGGCGCCGCGAGCCGCGCGGCCACTCCAGGTCCTCAAGGCCGACGGCGCAGACGACTACAGCCTGGTCCAGATCGACGTCGCCACGGGCGCGTTGGAGGCGCTCTACGACCTGACCTACGTCGACGGCAAGGCGAACGCCGTGGGCCTCTTCTACGACCTCGACGACGAGCTCTACGTGCCCATGGGCGTCATGGACGAGCGGCTCTGGCATGTCCCGCGGAGGGCGGGCCGCGGCGCGCGTCGCACGCGCTCCGGTCGTCGCCGATCTCCCAGGGCGGCTCCGACGGCTTCGCCGGCCCGTCACGCATGTTCCACGCCCACGAGAACGTTCGGCCCACCTCCAGCGCCCACAACCGCGGCGCGGCTGGCGCCCACCGGAGCGCACCGATGGCCTGTCTACGCCCGCTAGCTGGCCATCAGGGAGCTTCTAGCGCCCCACGATGACCGTGGGCGTCGGAAAAACGCGCGAGAGAGTTACTTGAGTGAGAAACGAACTCTTGCGAGCCATATAGGAGTCAATTAAAGTGAAAATGAGCTGTTTTGGACCCCTAAAGGCGGCCCAGGGCGCTCTCTGCGGCGGTCCGGCGGTCCGCGGCGGCGGTCGGGACCGAACATGGACTGGCAGGCCGCAGGGACTCCGGCCGAGGCCCGGGCGCGGCCGCATCAGGCCGCGGTGGCCATCCGCCGGTTCTCGGCCGAGACGCTTTCGGCGCCCGCCGGGCACCTTCTGGGCGTCGGAGACGGTGTAGATCGTCGTGCAGGAGCTCTGTGATGTCGAACCGCCCGGCGGAACACAGCGACGGTGATCGGTCGACGCGAAACGCTGCGCATGGTCCCGAAAGCATGCGTTTTCGGGCTATTTGAGGCGCTCTGGAGCCGAAACCACATCTTACACGCCGGTATCGCACCCCGGAGCTACCCCAACGCCTTCGAGGGCACGTCCCACGTGTACGACGCCTTCGAGTAGCGCCAGCCCAGCGTCTCCGCTCGGAATCGCACCGCGGCGCGCGTCCTCGGGAAAGCTCGTCGGGCGCCCCGTCGACGACCTCGGCTCGACGAAATCCCGTCGCGCGACCACGAACCCCGCGCGGCGCTCGACTCCGGTCACCAAGACGTAGCTCCGGTTGAAAAACATCCGACAGAAAAGTCGAAGGAGCGCCGGTAGCCTCGCGGCGGCGATCTCGACGTTTTCGGGTACCCCGCGCAAACGCGCGCGCGCGCGACGGAGGCCAGGAAGCTGGTTATAGATGGCCCATAGGACCTAGATGGCAGCATCAATCGTCGTAAGCGGCGGCGAGGCCCCGCGCGCGCGCAGGGCGCGTCGCCGCGCAGCGCAGTAGCAAATGCCACGGCGAGGCCGGTGTGAGAGGCCGGGGGTCCGCTTGCGGGGGGTGATGACCACAGTCGGAGTGTTCCTCGCTCGTTCCGCGCGCGCCGACGCACACCACACGTGGAGTTCGACGGGCGTAGGAGACGTGGTGCGTAGACCTTGGCCGCGCCCACCCCATGGTGCCCGCCGACTTTCCTGTATGAGGTTTGATTTCCTCACTGGCCGAGGCCCTTCGCCGTACTCCGCACGACCGTGAGCGGCTCCACGCCCGCGCGCCGCGCGAAGGCCAGTTGGGCCGTCGCGCGCGCGCTCGGCGGCGCCGTCGGCGCGAATCCCGGCGGCGGCTTCCGCTACGGCGCGGAGGCCGTCGCCTGCCGCGGCTGGGCGGGCGGCGCGCTCGTGCTCTTGGAGAGCCACGGCGAGTGCGTGACGGCGCTCCCGGAAGGAGCGGCGTGCCTCGGGTCGTCGCCCGGCGCGGCGCACGAGATCATCGCCGTCGGCGACGGCGTGCTCACGCTCCAGGCGCACCCGGAGTTCACGCCCGCGCTCATGAACGCGCGCGTCTGGCCCGCGGTCGCGCCGCGGCTCGCCGACGCCGACGCCGCGCGGCGCGCCGTCGCCGCCGCGGACGTCGACAACGCGGCCGCGCGGCGCGCGATCCGCGCGTTCCTCGCGGGCGCGGCCCCGGCGGCGGGCGCCTAGCGGGTCGTCTTAGGCGCTAGTGGAGGAGCGCGGCGCGGTCGCAGACGGCGAAGCACCAGTCGCGGACGGCGTCGCGCGTCGGCTGCCCCTCGGCCACGCCGAGCGCGGCGGCGAGCGCGGCCCAGACGGGCGCGTCGCCGCGCTGCTCCTTGACCGCGGCCGCGGACGAGTCGCGGAGGCAGAGGACGACGGGCGGCGCGCCGCCGACGGCGCAGCGGACGGCGTCCGTGCGGATCGTCACGGCCCCCGAGTCGGGCGCGGCCCGCTCCTCGAAGCGCGACGCCTCGACGACGAGGACCGCGTCGGCCCCGTAGACGCCGAGCGACACCGCGAGGCGCTCGATGACGAGGCCCGCGAAGCCCCCGCCGAAGGCGAAGACGTCGTCGGCGAGCCGCAGGGTCCCGCCGCCCGCGCGCCGCCGGAGCCCCGCGAGGAGCGCCGGCGCGCCGGCGAAGAATCCCGCGCCCACGCGGCCGACCTGTGTGGAAATCAACCGGTGAGCTGGGACGTCGGGGCCAAACTTGAGAATTCTCTAGCTCGGTCACATCGAAGTCGATTCGGCTGATCTTTGGACGAATCGATTGCTCTCGTCGAGTTCTCGGAGCACGGCGGAAGTGCTCGTGTCAAAACATTCGAATACGCTCACATTGAAGTCGGGTTGAAGATTTGATTTGCACACGGCGGCCGACCTTGTCCTTGCGCTGCGCGGCGAAGCGGAGCCGGCACCGCGCGCCGAGCGCGGCGACGGCGGCGGCGTAGGCTTTCTCGCGCTTCGCGCCGCCGCCGGCGAGCGCCGCGCGGGCCGCCGCCTCCGCGCCGAGGCGCCGCGCGGCGGGCGCGACGACGTACGCGGCCCAGGCCGTCTCGTGCCGGTCGCCCGCGAAGACGCGGCGGCGCCGCGCGTCCACGGCGACGCCGCCGGCGGCGCCGGCGTCGCTCCGCGCGCGCGCCCGCGCCGCGACGCCGTCGTCCGCCGCGCCCTCGCCGACCCACGGCGCCTCGAGCGCGCCCGCGGCCGGCGGCGCGAGCGACCGCAGCGGCCGCGCGGCCGCCGCGAGCTGGCGCAGCGCGCCCACGGAGCAGAAGGCGCCGACGTCCCGCAGCACCTCGAGGCCCAGCACGGCCGGCGACCGCCGCGGGCGCCAGGACGCCGGCCGCGGCGACGGCGGCTGGCTCGTCGTCTCCACGATGAGGCCCACGAGCCGCTGGAGCTCGTCGTTGTACCCGTCCGCGGACGCGTCGTTGGGCGGCGGGGCCGCCGCGGGCGCCGCGGCGTCGCCGGCCTGCATCGCGGTCGCGGCGAGGGCCGTCAGGCGCGGATCCGTCGAGCGGCAACACGCTGCCAAAGGCAACACTCCGAGCTGTGAATCGATCGATTTTGGACAGAATCTGCGAAATTAATGTTGCCGGCAACTTGCGCGCCCCAGGGGGGTCGAGCCGGGCTGATCTTCGTCGCAGACGGCCCTCAGCGAGCCCAGGGGCTGAACATGGCGAGGCCTTTGGCGCTCCATCGCGATCGAGACGAAGCGCGCGTGCCGCGGCCGCGCCGCGCGCGCCCCGGGATCGGTCCAGGCAGGTGGGGTATAGACACGGGCTAGGGGCGGGGACGGGTGGATCATTCGATCATCATGTGGTTTCTCGATTCCGAGGCCGTCCGGCGGCGGCCGGGGCGCGCTTGGTCGCGGCCCGGGGGGTCCCGGGCCCGCTAGCGCGCGAAGGCGGGCGCCTGCTTGGGCGCCTTGTCGCAGGTGACCTTGAGCTTGGGCGTCGCGAGGACCGCGTCGACCTCCTCGCGCGGGGGCAGGTGGATCTCGAGGTCGCCGGACGCGCCGACGCGCGCGTCGAAGGTCACGAGCTTGAGGTCGCCGCCGCCGAGCTCCGCGCCGTCGGCGAGGCCGAAGGTCTTCTTGTGGAGCGGGCACGCGACCTTGGCGAGGCCGTCGGCGTCGCCGACGAGGCCCTGCGAGAGGACGAAGGCCTGCTTGTGGGGGCACATGTTCTGCGTGACGAAGAGCTGGCCGTCGGCGAGCTTGAAGACGCTCAGCTGCGTCTCGCCGTAGAGGATCGCCGTGCCGATGTCCGACGGGTAGTCGTCGACGGGCCCGAAGCCGAGCCACGCCTTCTGCGACCGCGCGAAGACGTCGGCGTCGTCGGGCCTCCAGTTCGTCTGCGCCTCGCCGTCCGCGCGCCAGTCGACGGGCCGCCGCTGGCCGCGGACGTCCATGAACTCGATCATCTCGTCGGCGGCCTGCGTCTCGTCCGTGTTCGCGAACTGCTTGAAGAGGTGCGCGTAGTCGTCGGGCCGCGCGACGACCTCGGCCCACTCGTCGTGGTACGTGTCGACGACCTGTGTGGAAATCAACCAGTGAGCTGGGACGTCGGGGCCAAACTTCAGAACTCCCTATCTCGGCCAATTCGAAGTCGAATCGGCTGATTTTTGGACGGATCGATTGCTCTCGTCGAGTTCTCGAAGCACAGCGAAAGAGTCTGGTCCAAATCGTTCGAATACGCGCACATTGAAGTCGGGTTGAAGATTTGATTTCCACACAGTCGACGACGTGTTGCATGCGGCGCTCGAGCTCGTCGCAGATGCCGAGGGCGTCGTCGATGACGACGGCCTTGAGGCGCGCGAGGCGCGCGTCCTCCGTCGGCGCGAGGCTCTCGAACCACGGCGCCGTGCGCTCGAGCTTGTTCGCCGTGAGCACGTAGTACATGAGGAAGCGGTCGACGTACTTGAGCACCGTCGCCTCGTCGATGCCCGTCGCGAGGAGCGCCGCGTGGCGCGGGTTCAGGCCGCCGTTGCCGCAGACGTAGAGGTCGTAGCCGTGCTCCGTCGCGATCATGCCGAAGTCCTTGCACTGCGCCTCGGCGCACTCGCGCGTGCAGCCGCTGACCGCGGACTTGAGCTTGTGCGGCGCGCGGAGGCCCTTGTAGCGGTTCTCGACGGTCACGGCGAAGTCGACGGAGTTCTGGACGCCGTAGCGGCACCACGACGACCCGACGCAGGACTTGACCATGCGGAGCGCCTTGCCGTAGGCGTGGCCGCTCTCGAAGCCCGCGGCGCCGAGCTTGGCCCAGATCGCGGGCAGGTCGTGCTTCGCCGCGCCGAAGAGGTCGACGCGCTGCGCGCCCGTGATCTTGCAGTAGAGGCCGTACTCGTCGGCGACGGCGCCGAGGGCCATGAGCCCCGCGGGCGTGACCTCGCCCGCGGGGATGCGCGGCACGATCGAGTAGGACCCGCCGCGCTGCATGTTCGCGAGGGACCGGTCGTTCGTGTCCTGGAGGTGCGCGTGGTCGAGGATCGGCTCGTTGCGCAGGGACGCGAGCATGCCCGCGACGGCGGGCTTGCAGGCCTCGCAGCCCCGCGGGTGCGCGCCCTCGACGCCGTACTTGGCGATGACGTCCTCGAAGGTGTCGCACTCGTCGTCGAGGCGCAGCAGCGCCTTGAGCTCGGGCGCCGACTTGTCGAAGTGGGAGCAGAGGCCCGTGAAGACCGTCGCGCCGAGCTTCTCGAGCTCCGCGGCGAGGATCTTCTTCACGTCGGGCTCGCAGCCGCCGCAGCCGGCGCCCGCGCGCGTGCACTTCTTGACTTTCGCGTAGTCGCACGCGTCGCCGACCTCCGCGACGACGTCGACGATGTCGCCGCGCGACACGCCGTTGCAGGAGCAGATCTGCTTGCCCGGGTCGTCCTCGTCGACCTCGGCGGCGGCGCCGCGCGACGACAGCGGCGCGAGGAGCAGCGCGGGCGCGTCCGCGAGGGGCTCGCCGCGCTTCCAGAGCGCGAGGAGCTCGCCGTAGTCCTCGGCGTCGCCGACGAGGATGCCGCCCTTGAGGTACGTCGCGCCGTCGCGCGTCTCGAAGAAGAGCTTGCGGTAGACGCGGCCGACGCGGTCGTCCCAGACGAGGGCCTCGGCCGTGTCCGCCGTGTCCCCGAAGTTGGCGACGTCGCAGCCGAGCAGCTTGAGCTTCGTCGACATGTCCGCGCCCTCGAAGGCCGGCGCCGACGCCGCGCGCGCGTCCGGGAAGAGGTCCGCGACGACGCGGTCCGCGGCGACCTCGGCCATGGCGTAGCCCGGCGCGACGAGGCCGTAGATGGACCCCCGGTGGAGCGCGACCTCGCCGACGGCGAAGATGGCCGGGTCCGACGTCCGCAGCTCGTCGTCGACGACGACGCCGCCGCGCTCGTGGACGTCGACGACGTCGCGCGCGAGCTCGTCGCGGGGGCGGATGCCCGCGGAGACGACGACGATGCCCACGTCGAGGTCGTCCCAGCCCTCGTTCGTGAACGACACGCCCGCGACGCGGCCGTCCGCGCCGGCCTCGAAGGCCTTGGTCCGCGCGTCGCAGTGGATCTCGAGGCCCAGGTCCTCGACCATGGACGCGAGCGCCGCGTGGCCGCCGGCGTCGATCTGGCGGCACATGAGGATGGGCGCGTACTCGAGGATGTGCGTCTTCATGCCCAGGTCGTGCATGGCCTTGGCGGCCTCGAGGCCGAGGAGCCCGCCGCCGACGACGGCCGCGGCCGTGACGCCGTGCGCCTCCTGGTAGGCGACGAGGCGCTCGAGGTCGTCGACGGTGCGGTAGACGAAGACGCCGTCGAGGTCCTTGCCCTCCACGGGCGGCACGAACGGGTACGAGCCCGTCGCGAGCACGCAGGCGTCGTAGGGCACGGCCTCGTCGCCGCAGCGCACGGTCTTCGCCGCCGCGTCGACGGCCGACGCCTTGTCGCCGACGCGGACCTTGACGTGGGGCCGCGCGGGGTCCTCGTACCACTCGCCGCGGCCGTCGGGGCCGTACTCGCCGACGAGCGAGAGGTCGTTGACGTCGCGCGTCTCGAACCAGGACGTGAGCTTGACGCGGTCGTAGGCGGCGACGGGCTCCTCGCAGAACGACACGATCTCGAGGTCGCCCTCGAGGCCCAGCTCCGCGGCCTTGTCCGCCGCGAGCTCGACGAAGCGCTGGCCGACCATGCCGTTGCCGACGACGACCTAGGGTGGGGACGGGTGTGTCCACGCGGCGCGGCGCGAAGGCGCCCCGGGGGCGGCGGCCCGGGCGGCGGCGGGCCCAGCTGCGGCCAGAGCAGATGGTCCGGCGGTCGCGCGGATTTTCGGGCCCGCCGCGCCCGCGGGCCGCGCGGCCGCGCGTTCGGGCGAGGCGCGTCGGGGTGTTGGCAGGCCGCCGCGCGGATTGCGGCCGGCGGCGGGCACGGACGCGCCGTCGCCGAAACAAATCCAAAGTTTGGACGCGGAAAACGCACGACGCGCTTCGCGCCGCCGGCTTTCGCGCCGCGCAGCTTCGTGACCGCCTTGAGTGGGTTGATGCGCAGCGCCGAAGCGGCCGCGAGCACGGCGAGGAGGCGCGTCAACGCAGCCATCGTAAAGGCACCTCGAGATGGGCTACTGCAGCGCCGGGTTGCCGACCGCCTTCTTCAAATTCGCAAAATCGCAGAAACCGGCTCGACCCCCGGCGGTTTTGAATCGCCAGACGAGGGTCCTCTTCGAACACGCGCCTGCGCATCAAAGACGCTCTGGTCCTGAGTACCAAAACACCGCGTCGTCCCGGCTTCGGGACCTGCTCGCTTACGCACCAGATCCGCCGTGCCCAGATCCCCGGGCGAGCGCGAGCGCGTGGCCCCAGGCCCAGAGCCTGAGCCCACGAGGTGCCGCCCGCCCCGGCGGCCTCCTTTTTTTTTTATCCTCCCCGGAGGGAATCAACTTCTCGGGAGCTGGCTCCTGGACGCCCCCCCGCCCAAAGTTGTTGACCAACCGAGCCGACGGTGCAGCTTCGGGGCAGCTCGGCGGAGAGCTGCCCATCATGATCGAGAAATGGTGCTAACTTCCAGAGAAGGCGGCCGACGTCGGCGCATGGCTTCGTAGGACCCATGGCGGCGCGCCTGCTGGCGCTCGCGTGGCTCGCGTCGAGCGGCCACGTGGGCCTCGACGGGCCGACCTACGCGCCGACGAGCCCGAACGTGCTGGGCTGCGACGACCTCTGCGTCGGCTTCCGCTGCGCGACCTACAGCGCCCAGAGCTGCGCCGTCGTCCTCGAGGACTTTGGGTGCGCCTGCGCCGGCTGCGCCTGCGCCGCGCCGCCGCCGGGCAACGGCAGCAACGCCACGGGCCCCGGCGACCTCGCGCCGTCGCCGGCGTGCGGCCCGCGGCTCGCGCGCGACTGCGGCGCCTGCGGCGCCTGCTTCGCCCACGGGCCCGGCCGCTGCGAGGCGAGCGGCGCCATGCCGGCGCCGGGCTGCGCGTCCTGCCCGGCCTGCGCCGCGTGCTTCCCCGCGAGCCGCTGCGCGAACGCGCGCGCGGCCGCCGCCGTCGCCGTCGCCGCGCCGGCCTGGATGCTGCGGCCCAAGCACGCCAACTGCAGCGACGGCGACGCCAAGGCGCGCCACCCCGAGGCCTGCGCGGCCTACGCGGACGCGCGGACGTGCTGCGAGGCGCGCGCGCGCGAGGGCTGGTGCCAGGGCAGCAAAAGGGTGCGAAATTCCCAACTTCAAAGGCTCATATCTCGGCCGTTTTCCACTCGTTTCGGCTGATTTTTGGACGAGCGATCATCTCTCGGAACGGTCTCGAAGCGTGGATGCTTTTTTCGGAACGCGCGCGCGCGGAACACTCACGTTGAAGCGACGTTGAATCACCCTTTTGCTGCCCAGGCTGGTGCGGCGGCCACTTTTCTGACCGCGGCGCGTACGCGGGCGCCTGCCGCTGGACCTGCGGCCTCTGCGAGGCCGGCCGCGTCGACTACGCCCACCTCGGCCGCGTGCTCGGGCCCACGGAGGACGTCCGGCGCGACATCTACGCGCGCGGCCGCGCCCCGGGGCCCGGCCCGCCGCCGCCCGGACCGCCCGCGCCTCGCAGGTCGACTTCGAGACGGCCATGGGCAAGGTCATGGCCCTCTTCTACGGGTCCGTGCTCCTCGTCTCCCTCTGCGTCGCGCCGTGCTGCCTGTCGCGGTGCCGCGCGCGCTACGCGCGGCGCGGCCGCCTCGCCTGGGTCTGCCCCAGGGCAGCAAAAGGGTGCGAAATTCCCAACTTCAAAGGCTCATATCTCGGCCGTTTTCCACTCGTTTCGGCTGATTTTTGGACGAGCGATCATCTCTCGGAACGGTCTCGAAGCGTGGATGTGTTTTTCGTTACGCGCGCGCGCGGAACACTCACTTTGAAGCGACGTTGAATCACCATTGTGCTGCCCAGGTCTGCCCGGCCTGCGGCGCGGGCAACGGCGCGCCGACGCGGGGCGCCAAGTGCGGCGCCTGCGGCGCGGCGCTGCCCCTCGCGGCGCGGCCCTTCTGCAAGCCCGCGCTCATCCTCGTCGTCACGATCTTCGGCCTCGTGCTCGGCTCCGTCGGCGCGTTCCCGACGGGGCGGGAAACGAGAGCTTCAAAGGCCCCGATCTCGGTCGTTTTCCACTCGTTTCGGCTGATTTTTGGACGAGCGATCATCTCTCGGAACGGTCTCGAAGCGTGGACGCTTTTGACGGAACGCGCGCGCGCGGAACACTCACATTGAAGGGACGTTGAATCACTCTTTTCCTGCCCAGGTTCCTCACGCTCCAGGACGCCGAGGCCAAGGCCGACGAGTTCTCCGTCGCCGCGGCCGAGGTGTCGAACCTGACCATCGCCGCGGAGCCCGCGGGGCTCACCATCGACGTCGCCGTCACCGTCGCCGTCGCGTTCCCCGACGACATGGCCTTCAAGGTGCTCCTCGCGGAGCGCGTCGCCGTCATCACCTACGTCGACGACCTCGTCCAGCTGCCCATCGGCTCGCTGACCATCGGCGCGGTCGAGCTCACGCCGGGCGAGGTCACGCCGCTGACGACGGCGTTCCACCTCCACCTGCGGCAGGACACGTTCTGGGGCGCGGGGCCCGCGTCGCCGGTTTTTTCGGGGGGGGGGGTCGCCCGGACGACCGACCGCGCGCCGCGCGTCCGGCCCGAGCGCGCCGATTTAGGCCAGTTCGTCGCGACGAAGGTGCTCACGACGCCGTCGCGCATCCGCCTCGGGCCGACGCGCGTCGACATGGAGGCGCGCACGGAGCCGTGTGGAATTCAACCACTGGTTTGAGGGGTCAAGCTTCAGAATTCTCTAGCTCGGTCACATCGAAGTCGATTCGGCTGATTTTTGGACGAATCGATGGCTCTCGTCGAGTTCTCGAAGCACGGCCGAAGAGCTTGCGTCGAAACTGTCGCATACGCTCACATTGAAGTCGGGTCGAAGATTTGAATTCCGCGCAGGCACGGAGCCGGGCGTCATGCGGTGGATCCTCGACACGTCGCGGCTCCGCGCGTCCTACCGGTGGGAGTGCAACGGGAGCGTCAACTTCGCCGCGGCCGCGGCCGCCGCCCTCGGCGACGCGCCCGCGCCCGCGCCCGCGCCGCGCGCCGCGGGCTCCGGCGGCCTCCTTGGGGGCCTCGGCGGCGGCGGCGGCGCCTTCGACATGGGCAACTGCACGGGCGCGCTCGGCATCGACATCGACACGACGCTGTTCACGTACTTCATGGAGAGCATGACCTGGCTCGGCCTCAGCCTCCTCGTCGTCGGCGCCGCCTGGTTCGAGTACGACCTCGACCGCCACGGCCGGCGCGTCCACCGCAAGACCGCGTCCGCGCGCGACGCGGCCGGCGGCGTCGAGCTCCGCGCCGCCAAGGCCGACGTCCCGGAGGACGACGCCGACCTCCCCGAGTTCGTCTAGCGGCGTCCGCGCGGACGACGGGTTGGGAGCTTACAAACGAGGGGTCCGCGCGGGCTTGGTCGCGGCGGTCGTCGACGATCGAGCTAGTACGTCGCGAGGGAGACGGCGTCGAAGGGGAAGCACCAAATTGTACCACCGTCGGGGTTTGCAATGTAATAGCCTTTGCCGCCAGACCAATTCTCTGTGACGACGCAAAATTTGCCGCAGCATCGCGCCTTCAAAGGATCCCAAATCACGCGACGATCGGCTCCGGGCGCCGGCCGCTTGCACAGCCGCTCCAACTCGACCGGGTCGTCGATGACGCGAATCACGGATTTGCCGACTCGGAGTTCGCGCCACGCGGGCATGGGTGGAAAAGCGACGGTCTTTTCGCCACCGAGGACCGAAGCGACGACGCCGGCGCCCGCGTCGGCGCCCTCTTTCAGGAGCGCGTCCTGCTGAAGTTTCAGATTCACGGCCTTCAAAGAGAGCGTGATCTCGGGCGACGACGAGCGCGCGTCGGCGAGCTCGAGGTGGTCTTTCACCGAAGAGATTGCGCCTGGCATCTCGCCCGCGGCTATGAGCTTGGCGCTCTCGAGGTGCCACGTCGCCGCCGCGTCGTCGGCGACGCCGCCGTTCTCGATCGCGGACTGGATGAGCGTCCGCGTCGACGTCGAGTCCATGAGCGTCTTGCCCATCTCCGCGCCCGATTTCGGCGACGTAGACTTCGTCTGGAGCCACTTTTCGATCGCCGAGCGCTCGTACACGTGGCCGTCCTCAGCGAGTGC